GAGGTCAGCCAATCACAACAGAGCTCATTTACATTTGCAAATCTTAGGAAGAGTTGAGAAAAAATGGAAAACTGAGGGTTGGAAAAGTTCAAAGAGCCGTGAGTGTGTGAAAGGGCTTCCCTGATGGGAATAATGGAGGCTGAGACTCGTGATCGCACACCCACACCGGCCGTCTGAGGATGATGATGATGATGATGGTGTCAGACGCGTGTCATTCAGACCCTTTGAAGACACTGAAACAACAAAGAGTCTGAATGACATCCTTCATTACAGGAACAAAACAACAGCGGCCAGAGCTCATGTGTGTGTGTGTGTGTGTGTGTGTGTGTGTGTGTGTGTCACACAAGACAGAACGTACTGTGCAAAAGAGAGAGGGCCAGGTTTTTCTCATCAACAAAAAGTACTGTGGAGTTACCATGACTCTACATTCCCATTCAACATTTTGGGGTCATTAGGATTTTTGAAAGAAGTCTCTTCTGGTCACCACCGCTGCATTTATTTGATCAAAAATACTGTAAAAATAGTGAAATATTATTACAATTTAAAACAGCTGTTTTCTATGTGAATCTCTGTTAAAGTGTAATGTATTTCTGTGATGCGCAGCTGTATTTTCAGCATCATTACTCCAGTCTTCAGTGTCACATGATCTTCAGAAATCAGTATAATATGCTGATCTGCTGCTCGAGAAACATTTCTGATTATTATCAATGTTGAAACAGTCGTGCTGCACAATATTTTTGTGGAAACCGTGATGCATTTTATTTTCCAGGATTCACAGATGAACAGAAAGTTCAGAAGAACGGCATTTATTTGAAATAGAAATCTTTAGTAACATTATAAATGTCTTTACTGTCATTTTTAATCAATTTAATGCATCCTTGAGAAATAAAAATATTAATTTATCTTATATGACCCCAAACTTTTACACAGTACTATATCTGATGCTTTATGTAAAAGTAAAAGTAAATAACAAAGTTATTTTGCACGTTCAGTTTGATTTGTGAGTTTAATCATGTTAATTTAGCATATTTTCCTCAGACGAGTCTATGATGAGAGCAGATCATCTTGCTTTTAAACCGTTCAAATGAGCTTATTCATGAACTGAGAGTAAATAGACACAAACACTCTTGATTCACAGTATTTTGTAATCTTGTGCCATTTAACATACCACAGCATGACTTTATTATTATTATTTTTCAGATTCATGAGGTGACAAGTGCTGTCCAATCAGAACGCAGCACGGCTGACACAGACACGCCCACAGCAAGACCAGTGAGTCCTGATGTCACTTACATAATTCACGCATAATTAGAAGAATCCTCCAATCAGAATATTCCAGCAAACCTTCACTCTCCGTTTCCACAGAAACACACTGAACTCTTCAGCAACTGTGTAACAACAAATACAATCACCAGAAGTACAAATTTAAACGTAAGCTATAATTGAACATCACTACCATTGAGCTTCCATTAAACTCCTTCGGTCTTTATTAGGCTAATTAATTAAATAAATAAAAACAAAATTAATGAAATTATACTATGAGTAATTTGGACTCACACATTAAACTAAATTAAATTATTTATTTCATAAAAAATAATATAAATAAAAAAAAATATTCTAAAACATTGAATATTAATCAATATTATATTGATATTTAAAATATATTTAATATAAAAGTAGTATAGTATGTAATGTAATATGAAAATTTTTTTAATTTGACATTCTATTGGTGACAAACATCATTTTCTGATTGTTTGCCTAGAACACTGAAGTGAAAACATTTCTGAGCACGATTTTGCACCCTATTTGTGTAAAGGGACTAACCCTAACCCTAACCCTACAGACACACGACTTGCTCTTGTCCACGCACAGTAAAAGCACTTTTCTTCATTCTAAGAGCTTGTAAATGACTCTGAAACAGCCTCTGTTTCCATTCTGCTCTTGTTTAGACTGAAGGTCATTTTCATACCTCGCCTTAATAATCGTCATCCTTATTTACTGAAGGCAATAAATTACAGCAACACTGCACCTCCTGCCATGATACACACATACACGGCGTTTGTCTGCACTGACCATCCTGAGCTCATGAAACACACTGAATATGGAGTCAGTGACGCTGGAGATCATAAACTGAGAGTCATGTTTGATGCATTAATCCACCACAACAGCTCAGAGTTATGGCTTTCATTTTTAAACTAGATGTCCTAGAAATAAATTCATAAGCATTCCTGTTGCTCAGTCTGTAGAGCATGGTTCTATAATATCATCAAGTTCATGGGTTTGATTTCAAGATAATGCATGAACTGATCAAATCGATGTATACTTTGAAGGCAATGTAAATCACTTTGGATAAAAGCATCTGCCATATGCATGTTTCAAACAAATTAAATTAAATTAAATGGATAGATAGATAGATAGATAGATAGATAGATAGATAGATAGATAGATAGATAGATAGATAGATAATAGATAGATAGATAGATAGATAGATAGATAGATAGATAGATAGATAGATAGATAGATAGATAGATAGATAGATAGATAGATAGATAATGATAGATAGATAGATAGATAGATAGATAGATAGATAGATGGAGGCTCTCTCTATCTCTTCTCTTCTGTTGGTGTGTTTTTCAGGAATATAATAACGCATCTCCTTCTGAAAGTACAGCATCCAAATATCAGGAAAACATTGTGTTGCAGTGACCCAGTTTCACTCTGTCCCACATTTATTACACACACACACACACACACACACACACACACTCCGTTTCACTGTCAAACCTATCGTCACGGTGACCTTGAGCCTCTGGTGAAGGTGTCGTGTGAAATTCAGCGCCGCTAGAAAATAATTTCTCACCTCCACAATGCACACACACACACACACACACACACACTCACTCACTCACACACACACACACACACACAC